GTACTCTATTTTTTTTCTATTTCGAGGACCGAATGTATGCCTGTATATTTAATTAAGCCCAATTAAAAGTCCATTATACACAAATTTATGCTGACATTTCAGTGGACTCAATTTTTCATCGTGGTCGTGTCGTCACGTAATCAGATGCGAAAAACAGGCTGCATTCATTCATACATTCAAATGCAAAAAAAAATATGTGCATACACACAATGTCTAGCGAGATTTTAGAGATATATTTGTTTAATTGACTCTGTTGCTAAGTGTAGAAAAAATCCACTACAATCCACATCCACATCCACATTAGAGGTCAAAAAATCTTTCTACAATGTAAGTTTCGAAATTAGGTTAAGTTATTTTATGAACAAGTTGGGTTAGATTATTGTACGGATTTATCAGGTTAGGAAATATGAAGTTAAGTAATAGTTGGTTAATGTAATGCTTAGGTTGTTGTAAGAATATGTTAGGTCAAATTGCTGTAAGTATATAGGTTGTAACGTAGACTGTAAAAATAAATTAGGTCAGTGGTCGACAAACTCATTAGTCAAAAAAATATCAATAGTACAACGATTGAGATTTCTTACACTATATAGGTAGGTGCACTATTTGTTAACTTAAATACTTCAATTAAACATTCTTAATTAAACTAAAGATACTCTGAATAAAACTTGATATCATATTTAATAATGATATTATTTATTAAAAAAACTAAATTTTAAGTAAGGTATCCAAAAAATTAACCCATGACAATTACTTCTAACATCGAAAGAGTTGTGTTTTCTCCTATCCTCAGTAGTTTAAGATTTAGCTGATTGAGACGCACTCAAGGGGACAAAGAGCAGCATGCGGTGCTCGGGCCGCGGTTTGCCGATCACTGAGATAGGTTATTGTAATATTGAGTTGCTTTAGATTATTGTTAGCTTATTAAGATAATAAGTTAGATTGTTATAAGCCATACTTCACATAGTTCCGCTGATATATCGGACTGTATGAAACAAAATATACAAAAATAAAACGCATAAAAATTGAAAAATAAATTCTATGTTTTTCTATTTCTGGATTTTGCTCAATTAGTTTGTTTTGAAATTTTGAAATTTTCGGTCTATAGTTAACCGAACTGATCCGAGTCGTACTATGTGAGATTAGTATATTTTAGCTTAGGTTACTGCAAGAAGAGATTGTAATTATTTCAATGATGAAAATATTCCATTACATTAATAAATGAAAAAAAATAATGGTTTCGATTTGAGGTTATAAATAAATCCGTATTGTTGAGTAATTGAAGCGCAATTTCCTTGAATTTCGTTGATCAATATATTATAGAATCTAGGTAAGCTTTGACGTAGAAACATTGATTATGAAGTTATTATTGGAAACCTCTATTTATTTCCTTTTCCTACTTATTAATTATTGTACTGTACACTATTTACAAATTGTTATTTGAAATGCGGTAATAAAGTGGAGGACGACCATTTTTTTTTGTAATTACTGATGTAAACACCATTAGGTTTAATTATTCATAATGTAGTGTAGCATTTAAATAATACATATACAAAGGTTGCCGTATTTGCAGGAAATAAAGGCAAGTTTTATTTCTATTTCAACTACGTAAATGTAATTCCTTGGCTTCCCGTTCTTTATTCTCAGTATTCCTCCAGCATTGATCCCAATACATAATAAGCTATAAATATTTATTGCTTACACAAGTATACAATGAATTTATTGCGGTTTACACACATACCAAGGCACACGACCGTGCGGCTCGGCGTAAACACACTTAATCTGCATTAGGGGGCTCCGAGGAATAAACATTTACGCATCCCAGCCATCTACCAGCGGGGAATCGCTCTGGAAGCAATGTAAACACACGTCTTCTGAGTCCTTGCGTCTATTTGTTCATAGGCGTTAATATAAATCTTTGTCGCGGACGTTTCCTGCATTTACCTATTTCACCGTATTCACTTTATTCACACAAATTATAAATCTAAATAATATTAGTGTTCTAGTTTTATATATTAATTTTGTTCTTAGGAATCATATAACGTTATTAAAAAGTGTTAACATTTTTATAACATGCGTTCTTAGTAATGGTGATTGTGTTCATAACCACTAGAAGGCATCCTTAGTTACGAGTTTAATACGGTTTATACAAAAACTTATTAAAAATCTGTTTTAGAATTTCAACTTTTCTACAAAATCGGTTTAAACCAGTTTAAGAATTTTCACAATTTATTTTTTTTTATTTAATTTTATACAAAGTTTAAAAATATAACAAAATAAAATCTCACTAATCAAAAGTTCTATAATATTAAATAAAACTACAACAAAATAGAATTTACTGCATACAAAACTATAAACGAATAACAAAGATAAATAACTCTAAAATATTATTCAGAATTAGATCCTTTATCTTTTTTGGCGAAGAGTAGCTGCAGGAGGAATTTGTATTGTATATCATTTTATTGGTTGTCCCACATAATATACTTTTTTCCCATGCATATACGGTAAAGTTTAAATCCTAAATCTAAGCTTATATATAAAGAGAAATTGACTGTCTGTATATGTTTATATTTTTGTATTTTACGCAATATTCGAGTAATTGTTTAAGCTGTTTCTCGTTTTATGCCAGAGATGATGTTTTTTAAGCAAACAATTAAAATAATTAATTTATTTTTCAATTTTAAGTCTAGGTTCAAAAACCGAATTATTTAAATTTCTTCAAAAAACCGGTTTTCCGAAAATATATCAAAATTCCTGGGAAACATTATAAGTAGAATGCATTCTTAGTTACGTCCATAGTTGTCATTTCATCCAAAATATACATATGACATTCTTCATAACTAGGTTATCATGCAAAACTGCATTGCCCGAACTTTTTTTGTAGTTGTACTGCGTTCCAATAATATCTAACATAAAATTATTGATGATTTTGATACAAGATGACAGCTGTCACTTATATACTTATTAAAAACTCAAAGATACCTAATATTGGGTTACGAGCTATAGGTTGAAAAACGCTGATCTAGAATGTACAATATAAATGTTATCTAAATTTGATAAATTTCCTACTTTATTATGCTAATGCACGGAAATATGTCCGATATTCGTGTCGTTTTCCATATAACGTGAGGGTCGTATTGATTGGATTTTAATCAAAGTCAATCGGTGAACCACCCCATTTCTCCCTTGGGATCATTCCACCTCCCCGCATTCCGTCACATCCATCGTCGAACGCCGCGGGGTTTCAAGCGACGACGATGATGATGATAATGATAATAATGATGACGCTCATCATTCGGACAACAATACTAATAACACCGCATACTTCCATTGTCGGTTTATGGATCGACGCATGAATAATTGATGATAAAACTTGATAACAATGCAATATTTAATAAATGTTCATAATATGAACATCTATATTTATTATTTAATTCAGTTTAATTCTAAACTTGTATTATCAGCAGACACTTTTTTTTTTCGTAATAAAAAATAATTGTAATTTATTGGCCAGAAATATAATATAATCTGCATTGGAAATGTATATTGTAAATTATAAATCGTATAAATAAATAAACGACTGTATATAAATAAATATAAATCATTACCCAAATTGTTTTCCCTAATATTTCCAACAGAAAAATAACCCCAATGATTGGTAATATAACATATAATTATTTATTGTTTTCTTATCTTTATAATATTTAATGTAGCGATCTGATAAAAATATTATGGACTTTTTCCCGTTAATTCAACTAGGTTTTAACACCTTTCATTAAGTTCAATAATAATTGAGTCACACATCGAATGGATAACTGAGAAACATTGATTGACTTATATAAATATTATTTATTTTTTTTGTTTAGAAATTTTCTTTTTTAACTGGACAGATTTTAAACGGGAGCATTAATTCACGCAAATATTTGCGTTGGATTTGGCGCAAAAGTAAATATTCGTTTAATTCTTGATGGAGAGATGTTTAAAGTATGGTTAATCGGCGCGAGGACTTCCACTTCTTATAAGTTGCGCAAATAAATAATATTGATTCGGTTTCGGATCCGTCTCTTCTCTAAAGAAAACACACGCCCCGTGTTTACTCGCTTTCAGATTATATAATTTATCAACTGTTTCTCCATCAGGAAGAAATCTTATTTTTCTTGAAACTTTTACATTTTATTAAGTTCATATATAATTCTCAACAAATATTTAATTAATCCTAAAAATAATGTTCATTTATTTTTTCTTGTTTAATATTTATAATCTGTTCATTTTTCATTAAGCAATTAAATTTGTTTAACAAACACGTTGATTTCTTTTATTGGAAAACAAATTAATGAAACAAATTTTAATATTCATGAACATATGTAATTTTTCTATTCGTATAATTTACAACAGTTTTATTTTTCTATTCCACGTGATATTTGTTCAACCTCATTTCCGAAAAAAATATTTATCTATATAATTATTTTGTATGTTAATTTCAGTAATTAGTTTAAAAATGAGTTATGTACAACAAAAAACAAAAGATAGGTTTGTTTTACACAGGACTGGAATTAAACGTTTTTACAAGTTTTAAAAAATAAAATGATGTTTCTTTGAAAATTTGAAGTTTTAAAGTGAAATTTATGTTAGTTGGATTAATTTATGTCGATAATGAGAATTTATGTGATTGAGTAATTATGAGTCTGTGGGATCAGCAGAAATTTGTATGGGAATAAATCGGTTCGAAACTTCGGTAATTTAGTTGTTACTTGGAATTGGGGTTGCGGATCGGTATAGAGGTGGATGAAGGACTATAGGAAGGTCATATTGATGATTATGATGATGATGTTGAGATGGAGCTAGTGGAACGGTACAGAGAGTGAGGGAGGTGGAGATGGAAGTATAGAGTTTCCTTGGTTCATTAAACGCCGTAAATGATGCATCGTCGGCGGCGGCGGCGTTTGGGCATTGTTGTGTGACATTAAAGGGTCCGTGAGTTAATAGGTTAAGAAGAAACTTACGTCGACCGTGACTCCAGGCAAAGGGAACACCTGGGCCGGAGGCATGTTTCGTGGCACGAACCGATAGAACTCGTTGCCATCCTTGTACCACTTCACGGAGTAGAGTGTCTCGCCGTCCAGGTCGAAGTGGCACTCCAAGCGGGCACTCTGATTTCTCACAGCGTGGCTCGGTATCCTCAGCTCCACCAGGTGCAAGGACATTCCACCTGAAATTCATCACACTTTAGATTTCTCTCTTTGCACATATCACCCGAATCCACAAACAGTCCCTTAAACCGGAGGATAATTAATTAGCGCCCCATGGGCTTCCGCCCACCACAAACGCATATACAAGCCTACGTGCGTCTCCGTTGTTGAATTATACCCAACCGGAGACAGTTACACATTGTACGAACAGAGCCGTACTTACTCATAATACAATCACATCAAATATTTTTATTTAATTTTACTCTAAAATTTGTATCATCGTATATACCAGGTGGTGAATAAACATGAAGCCAAAGAGAGCCGCAATCCGTTTTTTTTTTATTTTATAAAGAGCCACACTTAGATATACAAATTTAACTTTTGTATATTTAATGTAATTATATAAGAACATATATAAAAAAAAATAATTATTTCAAAATGTTAGTAATAAAATTCAATTATAATAAAAATAAAATTTTAATGGGAGCTCACAATTTGTATATACTGTAATTACAAGTAAATTTTAATAGATTTCAATCACGACACTGTAAGATTATCGAATCATCAAAAAATAAAATGTATATAAAACATTTATTATAATTTTCTATGTTTATATTGGGTGAAGTAAAAAGTTCTGAGCGTTTTTCATTAGATGACTTTAGTGAACCATATCTTACGATGTATACGTTGCATCTTGTCATTCTATACTGCGACTTAAAGGCGACATAACGTTTTAAAAAAGTTCTTTGACAGTTTAGTGTGTTAGAGCGTTCCAAAATGGAAATAATGATTTTCTAATGTTTATGAATTAAGTTTTATGGTAAACATGATGATAATGTTGTAATAGTTATTTGAAAATAATTAATAAACTTGAGATAAATTTTCAAATAGACCAAATTTGGTAGTTTCTATGTTATTAGAAGTTATATTTTAGAAGTGTTATTTTTTTGAAAATATAATATATAGAGAATTAAAGATACACAAAATTATATAGTTAATTTGTAATATTCTTAAAGTTATCAGCTTTTAAAGCAAATAAAAAAATAACTTTTTTAATAAAAAAGAAAATAAATGATAGTTCGGTTAAAGTAGTATTGTCAAATCCATATTGTGAACTAGTCTATATGCTACGCTTATAGTAAAAAAATTGTAATTTCAGGGTTAGTAATATTTTATTTTTTCTATTATGCTAATAATATAATTAAATTTTGAAGCGAAAAATAAATAATTTATATAAAATTTCTACTAAAACTAGAACCATTTTTTAATAAGACCAGTGAACAATTAGCAAGACCAGTGTGATTTTTTGTATAATATTGAAAGTTTGATTTATACAATTCTAAATATATGTTTTTAGATATACGTATAAAACGTTTGAAATAATATTATTCTCAATTTAAAATCGAGTGAAAATCCATTAAAATAATTATGTTGTAATAATTTATAAATATAAATTTTCAAGAGGAATTATTTTTTTCAATAAGCTTAGAGGAATAATTTAATTGAATACGGCCCTGAGGGATCGAGGAAGGCGCTTGCAGGAAATCAGGAAAGAGATAGAACATGATGTATGCGTCAGTTTCGTGGCTCTTCACATGCCCAATTAATTTACCACCCACTCGCTACCAGCCCGTCTCAGGCATGTTTTATTGCGGCCCCCAAACATCCCCACAACGTACATTAATAACGCAGAGGGTGCATCTCCAATTACATCAAATATGGTATATAATTATAAATTTTTTCATTGCGCACATTTTACAAAATCAGTCACAAAAGTAAAAGTAATTAAATTTTACAAGTTCTCTTAATTTGTTGATGCATTCTTCGAAAGCAAAATATTACGATTATTAATATATGAGTAATATCTAACACTGAAATATTTAAATTATAAAAGTACAAGGAACATTGTAATGTAACAGATTTTGTTAAAAAAAGAACGAAAATTACTAAGATTATTTTTCTTATATAATCAATTTTGTTAATTACTTTGTAATTTTGAATATATACTTTTAGCTCAAATAATCTTTGTATTTAGATAGCAAAATTTCACAGGTGACATTTAGATTTTTTTTCAATAAATTCAGTAATTTGAAACTTTTTGCATAAAATAGAACTCGCAAATCTATTAATGATTGGAAAGCGTCAAATAATTAATTTTTAATTTAAAACTGACTGAAAATGCAATAATTGCTGAAATTGTATAATTAATATTATTAAATTACTAAATCTCTGTTTATATAAATAGTTAATGCTGTTGTTATGAAATATTCAGTAATCGAAGTATTTACTTTAATTGGAACATTAAAATAATTGTTTTAATCAATATGCGTACAATTTAATATTATAAAATAATTATGTTAGTTGTATAATGAATTTGCATGGAATTTTGAAGTAAAGTGATAATGGAATTTCAATAAAAAAATTATTGTATGAAAGTAACATTAATCAAATGATTATATAACAATAAAATAAATTGAATAACTTCCGCTTAACGGAATGGAACGGATATTACGTATATTACATTAGTTTATTTTGGAATAGATTATGCTCGGTAAGGTCCCACTGTATATTAATTACAATTTTGTGTTTCAGAAACATAATTTTACTTATATCTTTTTTAAATTCATATTTAAATTCAGTTTTAGTTTTATATAAATTAATTAATTGTGTAATTATGACTTAATTAATTGTATTAAGGGCGACTAATAGCCGAATGATTAAGTCGCCCTACCCTCGACTTCGTGGGCGCCGGTTCGAATCCTGGTCAAGCCAGGCCCTTTGTGAGCCCTCTCGGTGCTTGCAGCAATAGGGCCATCGTTCATCACAGGGCAGTCAAATGAATGAGGTTCAGCATGTGGACCTTAAGCCAAGTCGATGGACAATGACAGTGCTAAGGATAGCAGCAGATTCACAGTCAAAGGAAATAGTGGAATCGCAGAGCATCAATATACTACTGAAGTTATCCCACAAGACGACAGCCAACCAACAAATTAGAATAAAATCATCATAACTATCCATCGGGAAAGATTGTCCATTTAATGTCAACCGCGATCTTAAATATACTCAATATTCACATTGATGAACAGACTGTGAATAAATATATACAACATAAAAAAAAGTTAATTGTATTTGTCCAAACTGTTATTTAGTCCACATTTTTTATTTACAGTTTGTATTTCTTCACACACTTTCGAAGGTACTATCTAGTCTAGACTGCAAGAAATCCACATCTATAACCTATATTATCACCATACTAAGATTAGTTCACAGACTAATACGCCCTATGAATTTCCTCTCCCAAATGTTAATAACAAATCTTCGAGAAACAAATCAATCCCTAGGCCTAAATATTCTTCTGCATTCGGTTCGTCTTCTTACATATAATATGACGCTTTTATTATTATAAGTAAGTTCTAGCCTTAGTCCTAGCAAGAATCATATTAGTCCTATTGAAACTCTTGAACAGTAATCTACATCGATGCCAAGAGGAAAATCTTTATTTGAGGCCAAACAAGGTTATATAAATATTTACTTCTAAAATAATGACAATGTTTTTCCCAAACTTTTTATCTAGTTTCAATAAATCTGTTTAATACGGTATGCTTTTTAAAAGCTCAGTTATCTAAGTGTTAAATAGTACATAAAGTGGCCCGTCGGATACGCCGAATTTAATTTTGAAATGAAATACAGTAAATAATTTTTTAATTGAGAATTTTTTTATTGATTTATAAAGTAGACATTTTGAGATTAATTATGTAATTATGTCAACTTTACAAAACCCCAAAGGAAAAAAACGCATGGCGTCAAGTCGCAAGGTCTGGGTGACCAATTAACGTCAATATTTTTGTAAATCGATGATTTCTCTTGCTGTAAGGCATGTTGCACCATCCTGTTGAAATCACATTTCTTTGAGGTTCATGTCGTCCAATTGATCTCACAAAAAGTTAGATTATTCTCAAAAAAGAACGGTCCAATTACACCTCCAGCCCATAATCCGCACCAAACTTTAGCCATATTAGTAATGTGTTTTAACAATCACAATACGTTGTTCTTTTGTATAGCGACCCATTTTTAATAACCTAAATAACAGCAGATGACAAATATCAAACATTAGAGATGTCAACTTATATACAAAAAAAAAATCCGGCGGATCCGATGGACCACCCTGTACATCTAGAATTTACTATAAAACTCACTAGGATTCAACAAAACTACAAATTATTCCATAGTGTCTGAATAAATTATTTGAGTTGCATTGATATAGATATTATATAATAATTCTACTTAAATCATTTTGTGAATCGGCAAAAATATATTCTTCATTTGTGCGGTCAAGACGAAGATTGATTTGAAATGTATACGCACTCAATAGTTGGATGGGAACGAATGGGATACGTTGATCAATAATCAAATATTTTCAACAAAAAAATAATAAATATTAATGCTATTTCTTCTTGTGGTCTAGTTACAATGCAGCCAAAACACAAAGCAATTATCGAAGATCAAAGATTTTCCATTGTGCATGCGGGAATCAACAGCAATGGACATAATACCTTTGTCAAATCAATGGAAAATACGCGGACTCAGATGAATACTCGAACATACCTCTAATTCACATAATAAACTATTTACTTGCGAATAATTAAACATACCTAATAATTCAAACATATTTTATCAGATTTAACTATACATATGTAGGTAACAAAAACTTGATATTTATTTTCTAGTAGATCCATCCAATTCTATGCTAACATGCAACCTTTTTTTTTGTATAAATTCATAAAAATATTTCGTTGAGAGCAAAAATATAAATGATTAAAAAACAAGTACCGAAGTGCACAGGAAACAAAAAGCAGATTGAAAAATGTTTAAAAAAAATAGTAATGAACGTATCGCGTATGCAATGCTCACATTTTATGAACGCAGAATGGGAAGTAATGGAAATATTAATAGAAATTCCAAAATGTATTTATCGTGTATTTACACACGAGCATTCATCAAATTGCACTCGTGTTTTCTC